GCACAGGTACAGCTGGTCACACACCCCCCTGGCACCAAACACACCTCTGTGGTTGATGGTGCACATGATACACACACATACACATGGGCACAACCACCTCACACCTTCCCTCAGCAGCAGGAACCCCAGAAGGGGCACAAACACAAACAAACACAAACACAGCTTTGCACATCTGTCTCGGGCACATCTGACCACACACACCTGAACCTTGGGTGCCTGACTGTGCACACCTGAACACAGAACCCTGACCTTGGACACCTGACAACTCACCCAACCCTGCACCCCTGACCACACAAACCTGGGCACACCAGTCTACTCAGAAGCCCAAAGAAAAAGGAAGGGTCAGCCCTTAGCAACATAATTCCCATTGCTGGACGTTAATTACCATTTAATTACCAACTAATCACCATTTAATCCCCCCCCTCAACCTGCCAACTGCAGGCTGAGCCTTGGAACTCCTGTTGATGCCCTGGGAAGGCTCACAGTGAGGGGCCTCAGAGATTTGGAAGGCAAATGGGGCACTGGGCAGCAGGTGTAAGGTGATGCTGATGGTTATCGCCTGCTCCTCTCTCATTCCCATGGACTGGGTGGAAAAACACCCCTGGCAAAGCAAACAGAGCCTGGGAGCAAAAAGGCTCCCGTGGGGACAACGGCTCTGTGATATTTGGGAGCTGACAGGGACGGGAAGTGTCCCCACCATGTTTTTGGCACTGAAAATGATTTCTAATGACTTGCCCATGTCTAGGGGGAAAAGCAACTCTGCCCATCTGCTCTTCCCATGCTCTCCCTGCAACCTGGAAAGGGATTTTGTCCCTCTGGGGGGGTGGAGGTGTTTGGGGACTGATGGGGACAGTGGAGGGGCAGGAGGGTTTATTTAAAGAAAGGGAGATTCAGGAAGTTGTTTTGGGGCATAAACCCAGGTTTTTAGGTGGTAACGATGTCCAAGCTCCACCATGGACTGACCAAGACACATTTGACCCATTGGTCATCCTCTGCTTACCCTGTCTGCATGTCTCTAGCAGGAATGGTGTCCCTCATTCTATCACCACATATCCTGAAAGTGCCCTGGACAAGACCCACAAGGCAGCTGATGGCAGCCCCTTAAACCCCCCACATGCCCCCAAACCAAGAGGTGGTGTCCTTATCCAGTCCCAACACCATCCCATCCTCACCCCAGACCATCCCCACCACCACCACCTGGGTCCTGTGAACCCTCTTCCTGAGCCACAGTCGTTATTTTGGAGTCAAAATCATTAACAAACGTGCTGAGGATGGTAGGGATGAAGACATATCCTTGAGGGATCCCACCAGTGCTCCCAGCCCAGCACAGCCATGACTGTCCCTCACTAACCTGCTCCTCACTGATTTTCTGGAGCCTGTGGTGGCCTTGGGATTTGACAAGAAACTCCTGAGGAACAAGGTCTAGTTTGCTGGGGCAACAAAATGACCCGATGCTTGGCTGGAGGGAAAATTGCGAGCAGTGTTGGGGTGGGAAGGAGGTGTTGAGTGGGGGATATGGGATGAAAATGAGGATGGTAGGGCCATAGTCCTACCAGCAAACAGAGGTCACGGTGCTTGGGCTGTCCCACCCTCCTTCTGGGAGAAACCCCCTGATTTTGGCACGGCCAAGGTGGCCCCTCTCACGTTTATGAGACCACGGGATGGGTCAGTGGGATGCTCAGGTTGGATAGGGATGGATAACTCGGCTGTGGAGCCAGAGGGGATGAGCCAGCCCCGGGTTTGGGGGGACATCCTTTGGGACTAGAGATGGGCTGCAGCACCATGGCCCCCACCACGCCCCTTGGCAGGACAGCAGGGTGGCCACGTGCATCTAGTGGGAGGTGTCCCTGCCCATGGCAGGGGATTTAAGGTCCCTTCCAACCCAAACCATCCCATGATTCTGTGGTCTCCAGCCTGGTCATGTCCTGGCAGCACTGGTGCCTCTGGGACAAGGTCTGGTAAGATGTGATCCAGGCTGGACTCACTCGTGGAGGGGCTGAGGACTTTGTGGACACTGACCACGTGGGAGAAGATGCAACACCCGATGAGGGATGATGCTGATGGACACTGCCAAGGGAACTGTGCCTGAGCACTCGGTCTGAGGGCTTGGTGATGGTGTTGGGCTCCTCAGCACTCACAGAATCATGGAATGGCTTGGGTTGGAAAGGATCTTAAAGATCATCCTGTTCTATGGGCAGGGGCACCTTCCACTAGACCAGGTTGCTCAGAGCCACATCCAGCCTGGCCTTGAGCACCTCCAGGGATGGGACATCCACAATTTCCCTGGGATTCACCACCAGGGACCCATTTCCCCCCACCCTGCAACCAGGAAGGGGGGAGGGTAAAGGACTCACTGTTGCTTGCGGGTGAGCTCCTGCTCCTTCTGCACCAGGTCCTGCTTGAGGGAGGCCAACATCTCCACGCTGACATCCACCTGGCGCGACAGCTCCGACGCCCGGTCCTCCAGCTCCTGCTTCTCCCGGCTCAGCCGCAGGCTCTCCTGCTTGGCCTTCTCCAGCTCCGAGCTCTTGCGGTCCAGCTCCACCTGGAGCCGGCCCACCTGCGAGGCGATCTTCTGCTCCACCTCCTCCGTCAGCTTCTCCAGCCGCTTGTCCACCTCCAGCTTCTCGAAGGCGCGGATCTTCAGCCGCGCCAGCCCCTCCTCGTAGGCCGCGTCCATCGCGGCCGGCGGCGCCGGCGCCGGCGCCACGGCCTTGCCGCGGGCGAAGATCTCCGTCAGCGGGATCTCGATCTCGTGGACGTAGCGGGGCGAGGGCGAGGAGGAGGGCGCCGGCTCCAGCTCCTCGGCGGGCACCAGGTCGCAGGAGAAGCGCTGGTCCTTGCCCTGGAAGGAGGTGCTCTCGAAGTAGTCCCGGCGCGCCGCCGGCGCCAGCAGCGCCCCGTCGGCGGCCAGCGGGAAGACGGCGGCATCGCAGATGCTGTTGGTCTTGGAGAGGACGTAGAGGGTCTCGTAGGTGTGGTTGTACTCCAGGTGCGCCCGCAGCGAGGACAGGCTGCGGAAGCGCTTGTGCTCCCCGCAGCGCGGGCACCGGTAGGGCAGGTCCAGCGAGGCCATCCCTCAGCGCGGCGCCCCGGCGCTCATGGCGCGGCACGCAGGGACGCGGGCGGCGCGGGGCGCGATCCGCAGCCCACGGAGGTGGGGTGGCGGCGGCTCCGCTGGGGCATGGCCGGGGGAGGGCTCTGGGATGGAGGTGTGGGATCCGGGGATTCGCGGGGAAGGGGTGTCAGCATCGGCCGGTGACGGGCGCTGGAAGAGACGGGGGGGTGGTGATACGGGTGTGGGGGGTCTCCAAAAGTCCCTCCTTAGTCCTTCTTCTTGGAGCCCTCTCTGCCTCCACCCCACCCTCTTGTGTTCCTCCCACTCTCCTGTGGGAAGACCCACAATCCTTAGGAAGCTCCAAAAACCTTGGGAAGCTCCAGAAACCTTGGGAAGACTCAAAACCTTTGAGAAGCTTCTCAACCTTTGGGAAACTTCTCAACCTTTGGGAAGCTTCTCAACCTCTGAGAAGCTTCTCAACCTCTGAGAAGCTTCTCAACCTCTGAGAAGCTTCTCAACCTCTGAGAAGCTTCTCAGCCTTTGGGAAGACCCACAACTTTTGGGAGACTCCAAAAAGCTTGGGAAGCTCCAAAAAGCTTGGGAAGCTCCAAAAACCTTTGAGAAGCTTCACAACCTTTGGGAAGCTCCACAACCCTTGGGAAGCTTCACAACCTTTGGGAAGCTTCACAGTCCTTGGGAAAATCTGCAACCCTTGGGAAGTTCCACAACCCTTGGGAAGTTCCACAACCCTTGGGAAGCTCCACAACCCTTGGGAAGCTTCACAACCCTTGGGAAATTCTGCAACCCTTGGGAAGTCCCACAAACCTTTGGAAGACCCACAACCTTTGGGAAGCTCCACAACTTTTGGGAAAATCCATAACCCTTGGGAAGATCCACAACCCTTGGGAAGACCCATAACCCTTAGGAAGACCCACAACTTTTAGGAAGCTCCGCAACCCTTGGGAAGTTCTGCAAACCTTTGGGAAGATCCACAACCCTTGGGAAGTTCTACAAACCCTGGGAAGTTCCAAAAACCTTGGTAAGAATCACAACTTTTAGAAAGCTCCACAACCCTTTTGAAGACCCACAATCTCTGGGAAGTGCCACAACCCTTGGGAAGCTCCACAAACCTTGGGGAGTTTCACAACCTTTGTGAAGCTCCACAACTTTTGGGAAACTCCACAAACCTTGGGAAGTTCCACAGCCTTTGGACCCAATGATCTTAGAGGTCCTTTCCAACCTAAATGATTCTGTGAACCCTTGAGAAGATGCCTAACCCTTGGGAAGGTCCTCCACCCCTTGGAAAGGTGCACGGCCATCGGGAAGGTTTACAAGCATTCTGGAGGAGTGCAGCCACCAGGAAGGTGGACAACCCGTGGGAAACCTCCCTCTATCCACCCTGAGTTTGCCACAGGAGGTGACAGAGGTGACCCAAGAGCTTTCCTGCCCAACCACAGGATGAGCACCTGCAGTATCAGAGGTCTCTGAGCCCCAGGGTCATCCCTGGGTCCAACACTGGGATCCACCTTCTGCAACCAAAGGGTGACCCAATCCTACTGGATCCACCCATGCAGCCTCACAACAGGATTTGTCTCCAAGAGTTCTCATCGATCCATGGAACCCCCACTGCCTGATGCAGAGGAAGGACATGGTGGCTTCCCATGCCTGGGCAAGTGAGGGTCCCTGTGGGACCTGCTTTACCCCTCACTCCCAAAATCCTCCAAGACACCAGGGGCAGAAACCCCCACCCTTTTGAAACGGGATAAACCAGGAAAAAATCCAGCCTGGGGGGCACAGGCACAAATCAGAGCACAATGTTTTCATTTTTTCATTCATTTTTCCCTCAACAGTGAAAACTGCGAAGCTTTCACCCCAAAACTCCGAGGGCACCCCTGGGTGGGAGCATCCCTTGCTCATCCCGCTGCAATATCCCACAAAGGGCTGTTCCCATCACCTTAAAAACCCCTCTGAGCCCTCCTGCATCCCATAACCACCAGTTGGTGAGCACTGATCTGCCACGGAACCCTCCATCCGTGCTGGTCCCCAGGGCAACATCCCCCGTGGCTCAGCATCCCCCTCAGGGGGGCACAACCAGGCCACGAGGCTGGGAAACCATTTTTTAAGGGAAAAAAAAAAACGGTAAAGGCGAGAAATCCATTAAAAAAAACCCCACAACAAAACCCAAGATGAGCTGGGAGGGTTTCTGGAGCTGTTTGGGGTCGTCACAAAACACCTCCCTGCACGTTAAACCCCCGGGCGAGCACAAAGCACGTCCGGCAACTCCGGTGGGATGAGAAAGCTCTTTTCCACCACAGGGATGAAGCCACAGCATCGTGGCCCCGGGATTTCAGGCCTGGATCCCTGCCCGCGGCTCCTGGAGTACCCAACCACCCCCATCCCGTATTTTCCAGCCTTTAAACCGAGGCAGGATCCGGCCCAGGTGGATCGGGAAGCACATATCGCCCGGTCCTTCTCCCGGGCAGGTCTCGCCGTGACCGCAAAACCTCCCTTTCCCTCCCATCTCCCTGGCAACGAGCGGGATTTAAGGAAATTATCAGTGGAGTCATTACTACGGCGGCCACGCTAATGAAGCCCCCGACGCATCCGGAGAGCCGGGAAACGCTCCCGAGCGCCGGGGGATTGCAGCATCCCCGGGCTGCTCCGGCGCCGCTACCTGCGATTCATCATGGAGCCTTTTCTTCGCATTGTTTAACATTTTTCCTGCCCACCCTCCCTCCCCCCCCCAAAAAAAAAATCTATATTCCAGCAGGCAGCTCCACTGCCTGGTTAAAGAGGGAAGGGGGGGATGGAGAAAAGGGGTGGCGGCGGAGGATGGTGCCGGGGTGGAGGATGATGCCCGGGCGGTGGGTGCTGCCGATCCACGTCCATCCCCGGCTCTCCGGAGGGATGGGAAGGAGCAGGGTGGGAGCGCCCCGGTGGGCGCGGGCGGCCGGGGATGAGGCACAGGGGGCTCAGGGGGAGGTGGGCGTGAAAATCCGGGGCGCGTTTATCCCCCCCTAAAACCCCCGGAGCGGGGAGCGGCGGGTCCCCCCCTCACCTCCTGCCAGCGGCTTTGTCCCCGCTGCGTCCCCCCGCTCCCGGGGGCCCTGGGTGAGGAGCATCCTGGGGATGAACCGCCACCTCCCAGCGCGGCATCCCCGCTCCAAACCATCCCGTTTCACCCCATTACCTGCTTCTGGCCGCCGACCTCCCGCGCTGGGCTCCTCCGGCGAGGGCAGCATCTCTCCCGCTCGCCCGCCGGCCACCCCCGAGCCGGGGGGCTGCGGGGTTGGTGGGGGGGGGGACACGCGGAGCCCGCACAGCAGCTCCGCTGCACAAAGGAGGCGGCTGCCGAGCGGCTCAGGGATGTGCCAGGGCGGAGGGATGCGGGGCAGGAGGGATGCAGCCACAGGGATGCGGGGAAGGAGGGATGCAGCCACAGGGATGCG